GTGCTACAGATTTCGCCAGGGTGCGTGCAGATCTCACCAGGGTGCGTGCAGATCTCACCAGGCTGCATTTGGGTCTCCCCTGGGCTCTGCGGGCAGGTGCTGGGCTGAACGTGCCGACCTAAAAGAGTGGGTGGTGAGCTGAACGAGTGCAGACAAGTCACAGAACGCCGGCTCTGGGGCTGTACTTGTGCTGTGGGGCTGTCCAGAGCTCTGCCTGCGCTGGAAAGGAGGAGGGGGATATGTGGGACCGGGCAGGCACTGTCAAAGACAGCTACTGCCAGATCCCCAGCAAGATGCCTGAGGTCCCCACAAATGCAGGACCTCAGGCAGCCAATCCGGTTTAAAAATTTATAGGGCCAGTATCATTCCTTAGTATCAGGACATTTTCACAAGTACTCATGAAAATGCCCTGTATCAGCCCTGATACCTGTACTTATATCGGTATCAGGACATCCCTAATTTCTACCTATTGGGGGTCACAGAAACCTAATCCTGACAGAAAAGATTTTGGAGAGCTTTCCCATCAATTTTTGCACTACTCCTTTAGTAAGCCATTGTATGGAAATGTATCCTCCTATCCCACCTCGGGAAGTAGGGGGGGTGTGCAGAACAAAAAAAAATCTTTATAATGCCACAAAAATAGAGAAATGAGACAGTCAGGAAATGTGGAAATAACAGTACAGATGAAAATGTTATTTTAATAACACAACAAATTGCAAAGTCACAAAACCGGTAAAAAAAAAATAAGACTGAAACTTCTACTTCTCACCTTTATAAATAGCTCCTATATGTGTGAAAAGCCCCCACAATTCTATAGACAGTGAGAGACTTAGCTGTTGGCATGCCTCAGAAGGCAGATCATGCACGCAACATGAAGCAAACTGAGGTCTGCAGCTTAAAGACTAAGGGGGTCATTCACTAAAGAGCCGAAGGATCCAGCCGTAGCTTCGGCTAATTCTTCGGCTCACTACGGCTGCCGGAACCCTACGGTTCAGCCTGGTTATTCTGCTTGGTTATTCACTCGACTGCCTTCGGGGTAATGGGTGTAACATGTTTCAGGTTACACCCATATTCATGGCGTAACATGGCACATGGTCAGAATGTTTTTTTTTGTTGTTTTTATTCTTGGGGGATACTTTGGGGATTATTGACAAAGCTGCCGAAGGCAGCCGAGTGAATAACCTAGCCGAAGTGAAGTGAGCCAAAGACTCAGCCGATACAACATCTGGATCGGCTGAGCCAAAGCTCCAACAGCTCACACGCTGCCGTTCGCCTCTATTCACGTAGGAGCCGAACGGCAGTAAGTGAGTAGCCGAATGCTGCTGAGCATCGTGGTACCAAGCAGAATAGAAAATAGTGAAAAAAGTTGAAACAAAAGTTGAAAACATATTTTTTTAAATGTAAATAAATATTAAATTAAAAAAAAGTAATAAAGACTTTTAAAAAAAGAAAAAATATATAATAAAAAAACAATTGGGTGGAGCTAGCTGTCACTGAGTTTAATGACAGATCAGCGTCATTTAAGGACGCTGATCTGTCATCACAACTGGGCAGAACCAGCCGTGAGATTACGGCTGGCTCAGCCCAGCTGTCATTTGCAGGGCTTACAGCCGGCCCTTCAGCAGGCTGTTCGCCCCGCTTCGGGTGTCACTTCAGCTCAGTCGAGCCTGAGCATATGCCTTCGGCTCAACTGACACGCTCGGCCGCCTCCGGCTGCCCTACGAGCTATAGTGAATAGCCCATACAGCAGCCCTTCGTTTCGACTGAACTGGAGGGCATAGGCGGCCGAAGAGAGCCGAAGGATCAGCCGAATCTACTGCTGGATCCCCCGGCTCCTTTGTGAATAACCCCCTTTGTCTTTCATTTTATTTCAGATCTGCGGTTACTTATAGTTGCTGCACCCTCTATAGCTAATTAATTACAAGCTACAGCTTGTATGATGACAAAAAATGTGCAGCTGCCCTCTGCGCTCCCCCCGCTTCCACTCCTCCCCCCTCAACCGCCCCTGCTGGTTATCCCAGGCTCCACTGTCTCCCCTGTGGTCCCGGGACCTAGCACAACGGCTCCTTACACTAGGAAGGGAGGAGAGATCAGCATTCCCCCATGCTTGAAGGTGGAAGTAATGTGTGTTACATCACTTCTGCCTTTAGCTATCATTTCTCTGCCTGCTATAGCCAGAGAAGAGGCTGGTGAAGCAGATCTCTCTTTTATCAGCTTTTTTAGGGGTCCCCAAGACACATTAGGGGTCTTAGAGACCCCTGATGTCTCCATAAAGAGGACCTGTCATTGTATATTTGCTATCACATAGGGGGTTTTTTATTTTTAAAAAAAAATAGTTTAAAACCAGTAAAAAAAAAAATAAAGTCACATAAAAAAAAAAGTTTTTTACAAAAAAAATGTAAGTCTTCCACCCCCGCATGCACGCACATATGAACGTAAGTATGCGTCGGGTGCGCCTACGTGTGACTACGTTGTAATAAAGATTACACTACACATGTTACATATCACCACGAACATCGGAGTGTGAGCAATACATTTAGAGTCATTAATCACTGATAACACCAAACTGATGAGCGGTAAAAGCTTTTAAAGCATCGCTTTGGCCAATTTTAGATACAGTATAGTAGTTTTTTTGCGATTTCACGTGTGCATGCAATTTTTAGGCTTAAAGGAGAACTGGCGTCCTCCCGTTACCCTAAGCTCAGTATACCGCAAGCTACAGCTCGCGGTATACTGAGACGCCGGAGCGGATCCCGATATCGATGTTGAGATCCACCCAGCTGCGAATGGTATACAATTTAATTTGGTACAGCATTGCATGACGGAATAAATGACAGTCAACGTGCCGCAGCGCTGAATACTTAAAAATGGCCTGGACAGGAAGAGGGTTTACCACCCTGGTCATCAAGTGGTTAAACATTTTCCTGATGCTGATTCATTTTACACTTCTGTGTCCTCTCCGGTATCTTAATGCTTGTAGCAGAATCCCTGCCCGTACTTCTTTTCTCTAATGCATTTCAGCCAATTCTACCTTATTAATACTGTAGGTCCTGGTACTGGGTAGATTTTTACTGCTGTATTATCTGCAGTCTCGTAATTCTTAATGAGAGTTTGATAGAAACTGGCTAGCAGCAGGACGGTTTTCATTAGTGAGAACAAGGATAGCCGCAGCAAACCACTGGTCAGTTTTCATCTGTGGGTTCAAGTAGGGCTATTACTGTGCTTCTACTGTACGTAAGCCAAGTTAATTGTAAAAGAAAAAAGTTAATTCTAAAGCCAAATATGTGCTGCCAGCGTATGCTGTCGCTGAGACTGTCTGTGAAAATCATGCTGCTCCCTAATACCACATACAGCTTCAAGGCATACCCAGTGGCGTCACAAGGGGGGGCGGGGTGTGTGGCCCGCACCCGGGTGACACCATTGCAGGGGTGACACTAAAATGACTGACTATAATGAATTGAGGACTTTGCCCTCAAAGCCGCATGAAAAGTGTTATATGTCAAAAATGTATTAATGCAGACGTGTAAAAGTGCTGAAAAGTACACTTGAAACTTCCTACGTCCTCCTTGGGACAACTGGCCTGTGCTGCCCCCTCCCTACCCCAGTGCCTGGGCAAGCTTTAGTGGCTGGGAGTGGAGTGGATGAAGGAGACAGTTTATTCACTCTGCTACGGTACACCTAAACCTGATGACTAGAAGAGTAAGGAATAGTATTATCTGCCTTGTACAAAGTACACTCTGCCACCAACAAAAACACACAACAAAAAAATATTCGTATTAGTTTGGTAGGCAGGGTAGCAGTCTGGAACCTTTTATTGTTAGACATGTGCACCGGCAAAAAAATTGTTTCGTTTCAATTCGATTCAGATTTTGCGTTATTTCGTTTTTCGGGATTCGGGTCCGAAAGTCAATTTGTTTCGGGATTCAGACGAGGTTCTCCCCCAATTCATACCAGACCCTTTAGGTCTGGTAGGAATGTTAGGAGGGACCCCCCTCCCCCGCAGGTTAAAACAAAAAAAAAGTGTGTGGGGTTCTCCCCAAAATCCATGCCGGGCCCTCTGGGGCTGGAAGGAATTTTAAGGGGGAACCCCAGCACCAAAAAATTAGAAAATGGATGGGGACAAGGGCCTCTTCCCCACAACCCTGACCCAGTGGTTGTGGGGGGTCTGTGGGCAAGAGGGGTTCTTTGCATCGGGGTAGCCCTTTAATTAAGGAGGCGCCCAGATGCCGCCCCCCGCCCTTGTTAATGAGTAAGAAGTACTTGTACCCCTACTCATTCACTAAAGGGTTAAATTCAAAGGGTTACAAAAAAAAAACAGAGTAAATTTTTGACTATATCTTTAATTTAAAAAAAAAATGGCTCCATCGATGTAATCCAGCGTCAATCACGACGCCCGCCGACCCGCCGAAATAAAAAAAGTCCCGTGGCACGACGACTCTCCGAACCCGACGAAAACTCGCCGCAAAATGACATCTCCTGCCTGAAAATAATCAGATGGGCAGAGCGCGCCATGGCATCGCGCCTAGCTCCGCCCATTTGACATTCTCAGCTGTCAAATATCACATAGCATTCGGGAACTCCCCAATGCCATTCGGGTCTGTGAGCCGAGGTGTCATAATACTTTTCATAAGCAGCGAACAAACGAAACTAAAACGAAATTACAATTCGTACAGACTAACGCTAACGGATTTCGGAATCTGAAATTCGGATTCGTTTGCACTCATTATATCTGTAATCGGAATTCAGATACATCCGAATCGACGAAATTTTGTCCGAATCAAAATTTGAATCACACATGTCTATTTATTATATACATAGACGACAACATATTGGGTGTATGGTTATGTGCTAACCCAAGTGACCTGCTACCCTAAGCCCCAATCTACAGTGGCTACACAGAAACCCCATGGTTGATTCCTCACCCTACGGGGAAGCAACTACTCAGTTCTAATCAAAATAGCAAAATGTAAAACTTTCACCACTCCATCAAACTCCGTTACCTTGGTCTGGGCGGCGTTAAGGGCAATGGCGTCCACTTTGCCCAAGCAAGCTAGGAGTCCCCCATCATCTGTGGCAGAGCAGCCCACTTCCTCTGCCAGGAACTTCACTTGCTCCCGTGCTCTTGTCTCACTTACGGTCAACATTGGAGAAAAGGCCGAACCTCCCTGGAATTCACAAACAGATTTGCCTGAATTGATTCATTGAAATGAATACAAATGTAGCTGTGTTTCCAAGAGCACAACATAAGAATAACCATCTCTTTTACTACATGTTACCCTGCATTCCATTCATCTACCCCACTATGGCCAGATTCACACCCTTGCATTTCATTAACAAGCACGTCACCGTAATGTGTGGTACTCCAGGTAAGACACTTGAGAAAAGATTCACAAAAAAACTAAAACCTAAATTGGTTAAGAAAACTGTATATAGTTTTCTTAGATTTTGGGTTTACATATACTTCAATGGATAGAGGTTGGGGCAGGGCTGGGACAGAGAAGCTGAAGAAGCAGTTACAGCAGGCAGTCAGGGAGCTCCCTTGGACCACAAAAGGTTAGTTGACTACAAAGGAAGGCACCTCATACTTACTGTTAGTATCAGTTCACTTTAAAGTAGTATCAAACTCTCAATGTGTGCTTCAATAATAAATTCAGATCAAATAAATATACTGGACATTGCTCAGCAAAGTATTTTTGGTATCTTTTGTAAGTATCTTTAAATATTTGCCCCAGCGCCTTACAGTCATCATGTTTCCAAACAGCTCCAACTCTCTCAGCTCGGACTCCCCGAACTTCCTGTCCAGGATACGATCACAATGGGCAGAGCAGACTCCAGCAACTGTTCATCTACTAGTTGGAGGAGGGAGAAATTAGGAGATGGGAACTGGAGGGTGTCTTGCCTTGCTGTGTGTTTGTGGAGACACACACAGCTTACTAAGCACACACAAGGGTGGCTCCATAGATCCCTGCAAGGGAAAGCCACCCTAAAACAAGATATCAGGACCAGTGCTTAGGGAGCAAGCTGATTCTGCAGGAAATGAAAACGTATAAACATCAAGAAGCAGCGTCCATTGTAAGTGATTTTAATCAGCATTTTAAAAAGCTTTGACTTTAACATCATTTTAAACGCCCCAACCCAGTCCAGAATGAGTATATTCACACATACGCCTCCCTACAGCCTGCGGTGCAGATAGGTATCATGCTGGGAAACACTGTAGCACTCGAAATATCTTTGGAAAAATAAGAATACAAATATGAATATAAACTATTGCATCCCATTTTGCAAAAAGTTGCAGAAATGTGCGATTCTTAGAGATTTCTGTTACAATAAAAACGTTTGCAGACATTGTTCTTGCACAAGGTTTTGTCCTGTCCAAAATGAGTCACTTCCTCCAACTGCAGATTCAGATAGGGCGATTTAAGGAAGTAGTTCTTTTTTATTTTTGTCACCTCCAGAAGTTGGAATTGACATGTTGGTCTGGTATCTGAGCTGCAGTTGGTATTGCGGCTGGCAGAGTTTCAGTGTACAAGTTGAATTGAAAATGATGTTTGAGAGGAAATTCAGACCGATGCTGGAGATGCAGTACGGAAGAGGGAACGTACTTGCATATATGGTGGAGTTGCCCGAAAATACAGCCATTCTGGGAATCAGTATTCGAGGCATACCGCAATATGGAGGCCTCGAGTATTGAAAAAGACCCATTAATAGCGCTATTATCATTAATACCTGGTCCTTTAAAAAAGATAAAGGAGGATATATTAAGATTTGTACTGGCTGCAGCCAGAGTATGTATTTCACATAGCTGGAAATCTGCTGACCCACCTTCGATGGAGAGTTGGGGGAACATAATGGATGAGATACGATACATGGAAGAACTAAGCGCAAGGGACTCAGATAGGAAAGATATATATGATAAGATATGGGAGAGGTGGGAAATATATAGACGGTTAGAATAGCAAGGACATAGACAATTCCCATAGAGGTACATAAACAGTGGATTTAGGAACAAAGATAGATTTAAAGCATTTGACCTGTAAGAAAGTGTGATCGATAGAAGTATGGAGGATATTGAAAGGTTGGGGGGCAGGGACAACCTTAGGGAGATTAGAGAGATAAGATGGGGAAGGGTTATAACACAAAATATGTTACAATATTAAGGCAAAAAGAAATAATGCACTAGAGATAGGGGACACAATCATTGCATAGAAGCATAAGGGAGGAAAGGAAGGTAAAGTAAATAATGGTACACATAAGTAGTAGTTATAGTTTATAGACACTAAGTGGTTAATTTGTAAACACAAGTATAGAGTGAGGAACAATAGAAGGAAATAGAGGAGTTTTAGGAAAGATTAAGAGTAGCACAAATAAGATTTACACAAATTCGCACAGTATTGTTCCCCCTCCCACCCAAGGAAGAAAGGGTAGTATGAATGAATGCGAGGTGAATGAAATAAGTGATGGAGTAAGAGATTCTTTTTCACAATGTATTTATGTATTGATGGTAAGGCAGTAAAAGAATGGAATGGCTTTTAGTTAATAAATAAGTTATGTATATTATTTGTGTAATAAGATGCAATTCCATATTCTTTCTTTTATATATACATATGTAAATGTACTATTGTGAAACGAAAATAAAAACATATTAAACAAAAAAGAAAATGATGTTTGAGGTGTTTGTCAGGATTCCATACTGTATATACAATGCATGGGAACGTTGGACCGAACACGGGATCCCCCCATGACGTCTAAAGCACCACATCCACTGTTATGTTATTAAAGGAGAACTATGAGGTGAGTGATGTGCACTCATCCTCATTGTGAGAGCCGACCTGTGACAAAGAAGCTGTCACAGGTTTTCTCTATTGATCGGGAAGTGAGTAGAAACATGCACTGATCTGCTCACTTCCCGATCATCTCCCTGCAGTGAGCGGTGACTGTGAGTCATGGCTCCCAGCAGGGATTCCCCCCTCCCCTCTTCAATCCTCCAGCGCTGACTGGCGGAACGGACGGGAGAGGGGTCGGACACAGCTAGCTCTGCCTCTAGATAGGCAAAGCCAGCTGTCACTGACGCAGGTGGGTGGATCTCGACAGTAATGTCGGTATCCGTCCCGGCTGTGGCGCTCTCAGTATATAGCGAGCAATAGCCCGCTATATACTGAGCTTTGGGTCACGGGAGGGCGCTAGTATATGTCCTCCCGTGACCCTAAAGAGAATTATGGGGAAAAACACTTACCCCATAGTTCTCTTTTAAATGTACTTTAAGAAAAGCACGCCATATAAATTTTTGTTGTTTTTATATTTTAAGAAACTTACAAATGACAAGCTGTGAATTTTACCAGTGTGTCATTGTATTTATTAACACGCTTATTAATAAGTATTATTTATTCCCTTCCATGGTTCCTCTTTTACCACCACATCAACATGCTCATTTTTTTAATATATAATGTATATATATCTATAGATATATAGAGATATCTATATATATAGATATCTCTATATATATATATAAACCTTTTTTTTCTTGCATGCCTTATTTTAGAAGACCCATCACTTGGTCTCTGTGCAATGCAGTAAGATAATGGCAGGTGGAAGCCGCCAGCAAGGTGCTGTACATAGCTCCCTGAAAACATCACAGCCCCTTGCCTCAGTACCTCTCTCAAGAGCCCTCGGCCCTTATGCAAGCAGTAGGATGGATCTTGGGAGGGGTTATACAAACATCAAAATGCCTTGATGGCTGGTTGTCAGTCTGGAGGAGTGGACATGCCTAGGCAGATTGCAACTGCTTGCAGACCACCCTAGGAAACATCCACATGTGATGCCGAGCCTCTATAAATGAAAGAACTGAAATCCAAAAAATGAAAGGGTTGTGGCCGTAACAATCGAGCTGGGGAGGAGAAATAAAAAATAACTACTTCCTTAAATCGACCTATCTGAATCTGCAGTTGGAGGAAGTGACTCATTTTGGACAGGACAAAACCTTGGTGCAAGACAGGGGTGGGCAAACTGCGACCCTCCAGCCTGTTGTGGAAATACAAATCCCATGAGGCATTGCAAAATTCTCACAGACATGACTCCCAAAGACAGATGCATGATGGAATTTGTAGTTTCACCACAGCGGGAGGGCCAGAGTTTGCCCATCCCTGGGCCAGATGGTGCTGGACATCCTCCTGCCAGGAAGTGAGGCGGGCTCAATCTGACTTGCTGCAGCTTGTAATGAACATTATGAGAAGCTCACAGTGTGCAGTGAATTCAGAGGAAGCCATTTCAGTCCAGGAAAGGAACCGGTACCACTGTGCAAGACTGAAGGGAAGGCCGGAGTTTAGCAATAAAAAGTGCTCTTCGGGTATAAGATTCCTGACAATAAATGGTAAATCTTGTTAGGTTAAATAAGTCAATTATTGGATTATCTTTGTTGATCTAAATACAAGAATACTGTGTACATTTCCAGCTATTAATTGTATTTGCTACTCGGAGACTGCCCTCGGTCTTAGCAGTGTCTCAGTCCCTTCATCGAGTCCGACTCTTTTCCTCTGCAGTGACCTGCCATCGTTCCTTCTTTGCGGCCCTCATGGTGGCCCTGCTAAAAAGGTTCCAACTACACTAAGTCCCATAGACTTGTATGCTCATTTCGGCAAAGCATAAACCTTTATCTTTGGAGATGAGAAGAGGAAGGAGCAGCTAGACACAGCCAGATGAGGTATCCAAACCTGTCCAATTGTCTGGTCAATCTAAGGTCCAACAGTGAGGGTGCCTGCAGGGCCATCCCTATAATGATGTAGCCGGAGGCTATTGCCTCAGACAGCATCTCGTGGTGGGGCGGCAGGCAGAGTGGCATGGCCGCTCTGCTGCACAATATTGCACAATGTGCCTGCTTCCCCCTTTTTCGGCCAGAATGTCTCAGGTTGCTAAGCGCCGGGCAGGGAGATGTGTAAGGGTCATATACACATCACACGTACACACATGTGTATACAGTATAAGGGTCATATACACATAAGGGCCATAAACATCTCCCCTCCCAGCCCTTAGGAACCTGGGATGCTCTGAGCGGCGTCCTGCCAGCTCCTGGCAACCAGTAATGTCAGGGGGTAGGACGCCAGCCAGAGCTGAGCCAGATGTTGCAGAGGCCAAACCCTGCACCCCTACCTCATCCGCAGGTAGCAGGCAG